GAACAAACAGAGAAAATTCGTATGCTGGAAGACATCTTGTTGATTTAGCTGGTAAAAATAGCATTCTGCGTCTTAGGATATTAGTTTGCAGAAATGTCAGGCCTGTGATATTGAGCACAAACAAAAGTCATGTTGTACATGAAGTGGAACAATGATTGCAACACGCCGTTAACCCAGCAAATATTTTTTGCATTAGTAAGACCGCGACCACCCTATTTCAGAACATGTTGAACGTTGTTGGAAAGGTTGTAATGCTTCTTTCTTGGCATATTTATTGTTTCTGTGTTGACAGCAGAACTGTCTATCAAAAGAGCAACAAGTTGAGCACAAACATGACAGCTCGCAAGGCATACAAATAAAATGGAATAAGTTAATTTGACTGCAAAAAAATAACACAGTAACAGTAAACATGTAAATGAAATTGGTATGCTCTGGCATTAAGACTTACATGCGTCACATGTTAAAAATTATCGATGATGCTTCTTCCTTAGCATATTTCTGTTGTTTCCAGCAAAACTGTAGTAATAAAGCAAAATGAGCATAAACATGAAAGTTGCGAGAATAAAAAGATATACGTTAGGTTAGACGTTAATTTTACTGCAGGTAATGGCATCGGTAAATGAATTGACTTTATTTTACTGTTAAACATTTGATATGCTCAGCACTTACACTTACCTGCTGCACATGTTGAATTTTTGTAATGATTCTTTCTTTGCATATTTATGCATTTGTGGTGTTTCCAGAAAAAATGTAACAAAACAGCAAAAAATGAGAACAAGTATCGCAGTTGTATAGCTGTATAGACATGCTCATTACTGCATTAATGAAGAAAAATAAATAATAATTGAATTTCCCTGCAGACACACAAGACCACAGGTAAATAAATTCGGTAAGCTATGGTAAAATTGCCAAAGTTCAGACAAAATAGACTATTCTTATTTTCACGAATAATTCTACTCATTTACGGTATTAGGTACGGTACCGGTATGTTTCAACAGTCTACCGGTACCGTACCGTCTCCATAAGAAACTTTCAATTTCCACTTACAATACAGCACAGGGACCGATAAGCTACCGGTGCGGTCCCTATAAAAAAAACTTCAAATTCCAACTTCCGCTAAGGCGGTACGGTACATCCGAGTCACTACTGTAATATAACACCAAGTACGGCGCTATTCGCCGTTCACCATTCCCCAAATCTGAGCAAAGCAAGGATTTCGATACGAACCACCGACGTTCGATGGCACGTGATCAAAAAGAGGAGTGCCTGCATATGCGTCCGCAGAACGTTCAGTGACGTCATAGCAAACACATCTCAAATTTCACAGAGCTAACAGAAATATTTGAAATAAAAAAAAGTAATAGCCTTCTGGAGAAGAATTTCATCTTTAACCACTAAAAATTTCAAAGCATTTGGTCCAGTGATCAAGGAGAAAAGCGTTTTTTTAATATTTCCAATAGGTGTCCAGAAAGTGTCAAAGAACAACAAAACGATCGTTATGTCCACTAACGTGTCCAAAAAGTGGAGTTACCCATGTTTGCTAGAAAATCGGAAAACAGAGAACTCACACACACGGAGATCAATATTATCGTTGGGGACATCGGTCTGAGAAAGTTGTTCAATGGAAAGGAAAAGGGTTTAGATAAATTCGAGTCGACAATTAAAAAGTGTGCTCAAAATTTCAAAATTTTTCCCAAAACATACGAAAATAGGTATTTTGTACACATACCACTAGTGCTGTCCAAAATCGAATAATTGTCTGATTCGAATCGAATATTTTCGCCGATTCGAACCGAATATTATTGCGCAATCATAAATCTGTCTCTATTATACAATATACAATAAACGCCTGCCCTTCGATGATGTGACAACGTATGTGCAGTTACATCTGACTTACTGCTGGTATTTTGCAATACCATGTTTTCAGATTTATGAAAGGAGATCACACACTTGTATGAACTGGTGAACAAAAATTGGAGGTCTCTAAAATTAGGGTTTCAAAAAGTGTTGAGAGTAAAAATTGCACATATCAAAAATTGCACTTTCAATTCTAATGGATTCAGTTTTAACAGGGAATGTAAAGCCTCTAGATCAGCGTTTCCCAAACTTTTTCGGCCACAAAACACTTACACTTTTTATCTCGCCTCGATTCGTTGCAAATTTTCATCTTGACGAGTTGTTTATCAACGATATTGCTACATTACAATTAGTAAGTAGTAATTTATTTGCATTACCTCTGAATCATAGTGTTGTATCGTTTGAACAAGATTTTTGTCGTCCACTGTGTCGACGGCTTTCTTTAGATCAAGGAAAACCCAACAGACAAACTCACATTTACCTACATAGACAACAGCAAGATCGCTATATCTTTTAAATTGTTCTTTCTGTTAGTAAAAGCCTAGAAAACGATATAGACAACTCTTCTCCGAATGGCCGCACCACAAACTGTTTAGTTCAGATAACTGAAGAAGTGGAATAATAAGGAGGTGCAATGGGTCGTGTATTCAGATCAAGGACCATATTTCTTACCGGAACCACGGTAGATAAGAAACCTATCGCAAGTAACGTAATTTTTTGATAACGGGGTCATGTTGGGATCAGGGGTGGCATATGCAAAATATTTACGCTATGCCGCCTAGAAGTTCTTGTAGTACTCGGCCCACAGGTACGGAACTGCTAGCCATTCCATAGGTCCAACTTGCTTTGTCCAGGATGGGGACTTTTTCAAAAACGAATAATTCTGGCTTTTGTGTCCATGTATTTGACCATTGCTCTCTTATATACCAAAGAGATTAAACATAGATCGCGTTGATGATTACCGTTGTTAAGAAATAAGTTACACCAATCGATTTTAAGTTGCCAGTGCTTGAAGATGGTTGAAGCCACAGAAATGCTGTTAATTTGTTTCGCATATTTGTATACATATTTGTGATCGATTGCTTTAAGAAATGGCTATTTTTTCCAAACGACAATATTCATTAAAGCTATCTATATTTATGCTTCTTGTCGAATAAATAAATTGTCCCTTGTGGAAGTGGCGTTACTTTTAGTAGCTGCATTTGTTCATCATCAATTGCTTTTCCAGTGTTTTGGAAATAATTTTTTAATGATATTCACTGGCGATGAATCCAATTATTCATACCCGACTCCGTCTCGCTCGTCCGCCGATGTTTTCCGCTTACCACAATGCGCAAATTCAATATATTTGAGCAATGCCTATTTTATTTCCTTTTCAAGTGTCGTGTGAATTGTCAAGCATATTGCAACCTATTTAATGAAGTATAACTTATGATCGTTCCGACGAGGGACTATATACTGAAGAATTCCACGATAACAAGTCAAAACAATCAATTTTTTTTCCATTCATTCTGTAAAAATATTACTTATTCGTATGTTACGGACATTTTATCTTAATTCGATATTGCCATTCGCATTCAACTTTTTAATAGAAAAAATTGTTACATTTCGTCGCCGTATTTAAGCCATTTGAAATGTCAAGCACATTGCAACAATTTCGATGGAGGATAATTTCTGGTCACTTCGGCCAGAAAAATATTCTAACGCGTTGAGAGGCCACGATTACATGAAGAACGGTTGATTTGTTTCCTTGACAAGTCTGTAAAATTATTACTCATGTTGTGGATATTTCGATACTACAATCGCATTTGCCTTTTCAATAGCTCAATTTGTTACACGCTAGAAACTCAGGAAAGAAAAAAAAGTCTCAATCAAAAAAATGACTCAATCTAATCCCTCATTTAGAAAGGTGAGAAATATCGGCAGTTTGTCCAAGATTGTGATTATCAGATAACCTCAGGATGGGATTCTATCTGGATTCTTGAAGGAAACGCGATTATGGAAGCCATTTTCGCGTCAACGAGTCTAGCGCCATGAAAGATAAACTTAGAGCCTTCACGTTCTCAAAGAGTTTGCCGCTATGAAGGAAAAGAGGGTTGAAAAAAAGATTCAGTGGGTTATCATGGGTATCGATATTTACTTTGCGACAGACTGTATTTTGTATGTTAGCTTAGATGTAACTGCAACTTCCTCATTGGCTTTTGTTATCTTTTATTCTAGAAAGATATTGTTGATAAAAACCTTTTTATCCAGTATAAATAATATGTACCTATTTCTTTTTATTTAATGCCCAGAGATGCAATAACTCAATCAGATACTAATGAATGAAATGGAGAAATTGAAACAAAGTAATTTGCACGAATGCGGTATTTGTAGTAAACGTTTTAGTTGGATTAGTCATCTCAGAAACCATCAAACGACACACACTGGAGAACGACCATACAAGTGTGAAATTTGTGGCAAGACATATACTCAGAAAAGTCACTTAAAGAGCCATTTGCGATTGCACTTTCCCGATGACCCACGAAATCTACAGAAATGCGAAGTTTGCCGGAAAATACTTGGCGATGTTCAAAGTAAGACTATTCACATGCGACAACATACAGGAGAAAGACCATACAAATGAGATGAATGTGGAAAAGGGTTTTGTGGCAGTGGTTCTTTGAAAAAACATATGAATCAACATTCAAAGAAATTTGCGTGTGAAATCTGTGAACGGCCATTCATCGACAAGTCACACCTTTTGAAACATGTTCTCACTCATACAATGGAAAAAAAATTTGCGTGCACTATTTGCAATAAGTTATTTGCACGCAAAGATAGTTTAAATTTACATATGAGAAAGCATACAAATGAATATCAATTCAAATGTGAGATATGTGGCGTCACCAAGGTGCAACACTGCGAACTGAACATTCACATGCGTACGCATACAGACAAAAAACCGTTTGTGTGCAAATTGTGTGGAAAGAAATTTAGTCGACATGACAGTCTAAATACTCATTTGCAAACACATTCCAACGAAAAGTCGTATGCATGTGTAATATGCGGAAAGAGATTTGCCGTACAAAAATATGTCAAGAAACACATGAAACGGACTCATTTCAAATCAGAAAGTATCACAAATACAGACAAAGTTGAGTAGGAACAAGCGTTATTTCTTACGAGTTCGAACAAAACGAAAAGATATCACTAAATAAAGCTCGAACACTTCAGGTATTTGATCAAAGAAGAGTTGTACGCAGGACCAGATCATGAATAACTTAATAACAAGAATGAAAGAGATATGCTCTTACCATTGATTCATATATTGAAGTGTTTAATGTCTGCGAAGGTATGTGGAATGTGTAAATATTGAACAATTACTAAATTGTGTTTTTACGAATATTGCTGAAATGAAATCCGCACAACAAAATAAAAATGTATTTTGGTATAACGATGACCTGACTAGAATCCGCCGGACCAACAAAAAAACATGGGATTTGCATGCCCAGTCTGCGAGACCTTACCCATATAAACGAATGCCATTGTTTTTCACTTGTTCGTACCATTATTGCCAACGAGTTCTAAATCCTTATTATGACAATAGTACTTTGAAAAGACTTATCAATCGACACCTGAAGACATTTGTGTTTGAAGAATGTAATTGGGCATTTGACGGCAAGTCTACCGTTTCTACTCATATGCTCTCTCATACAAATAAGAAAAGATTTGAGTGCACCGTTTGCAATAAGTTATTTGCACACAAAGCCAGTTTAAAGTTGCATATGAGAAAACAGACCAACGAGTGTCAATTTAAATGTGAGATATGTGGCGTAATCAAGTTTCAACAATACGAACTGAATATTCATATGTACATACAGGTGAAAAACTGTTTTTTATGTAAATTATGTGGGAAGGCATTTAGCCAAAACAGTTAATTTTCATATGCAAACACATTCCAACAAAAAGTATTATAAATGTGAGATATGTGGAAAGAGATTTCCCGTACAAAGATATGTCAGGAAACACATAGAACGGGCTCATTCGAAATTCAAAAGTATCTCAAATACAGGCAAAGTTGAGAAGTTTATCACCGGATAAAGCCGAACACTTTCGTTTATTCATATATTCCACACCTCCAGTTTCCTGTGCTGTCGGTGACATGAGGGTTCACACGGGAAAAGTAGTTTTTGTTACACAACTGTGTGGGAGAGATTTGATGGTTACCTCCTGGTTAGTGTAGTGATTCGGCCTCCACCACCATTCCTATTTTCGGAATGTTGAACATTGCATATCACAATGAACTGCCTTTGTTTATTTGGGGTTCATGAAATTTGCACGCATAATATAAAAAGCAAACTACTTGCACAAGAAGGCAGTATGCGAGACTTTACTCGTATAAACGAATGTCATTGTTTTTATTGTGCGTACCATTATTAGATGGTGACCGTACATTTGAACCCACGTACATTTGAACCCATGCGTATATCCACGGGTTCAATCTATATGCGGGTGATAAAACCCATGGGTTAGAGTTAGTATGGGTTTAACTATCCGTGAAACAAAAAAAATTCCATAGGTGCAATAGCATACAGGTGCAATTGTCATGGGTTCAAATGTAATGGAACCTTATTAGATAGTTTCGTTCGAAATGAGTTCACAAGCAAATCATCTTAGGAGTCCATGGCGTTGGAAAAGTTAGTAACCAGTGATCCATCCAGTAGTTTAGTACATTTTAGGCAGATCGAGTGGAATAGTGAATATCTGATTTTAGGCATTGTTGTTGATATTGCCCGGTCAAAAAACTGTGTCTATGTAGAATGGGAGAGTGTGAATTCTGCGAATGAAATTGACGTGGTGACAGGGTTAGAAGATTTCCGCACCACCACCTCGATTCCTGTCAACCAAACGAAGGCGTCCAAAACGTATTCTTATACAAACCAGAGTACGTAGGCCGACATGTCTGTAAGCCCTTTTTAGTCACCTCGAAAAATATACTGCTGGAGGCCACGATTACATGTGTTGTTCCTTCCTTGCGTGTTATAATATATTATAGTATAGACAGACAGATACTCAAGCATGGTTGCAAAGATTGCCTCTTTTTGATGTTTGGTTGGTATTAGTCAGTTTTTTTAGTGGCGTTTCCAAAAATTATGTGTGAAAGAGGTATTACAATATTCCCGTTGCGTCTTTTTGTGAGCTTCAGTTTAGTTGCGATAATTAAAAATTCGTCCCGGGAAAGCTTGAATAGACTACGCTAAAACGAGCTTCTATTACGTGCACACGGCACTTGTATATATATGTTGATATAAATAAGGGTTTTGAACATGTAAATCAATTTGTACGCGTCAACTCTCCAAAACAGTCGCAAAATAAGTATTTAAACTTTTGCAATAGTAAAGTATAGAGGACTTGCACGGGTCACGTGACCTTGTTTACTGGACGGCAATAAAACAAAACGTCCATTTGGCTCCTGTCAGTTGCAAGTCGGATTTTACGTTTCCGCTTTGTTTGGCTGTTGAAAATGGTTATTTCGTATTGTTCCGCTGGCTGTACGTATAGTATAAACAACGAAATGGATATTCAGTTATATTCCACCGTTTTCAAAAGATCCGGAACGTCGCGCAATGTGGATATTATCTATTGGCAGGACTGCTTGGTGTCAAGTCCAGAAGCCATCTCACTTGTGTTTCACTGTTTGCGGACAGCACTTCGTTGATGGTGAGTCATAATGTGCCGTTATCATTTTTTTTAAATATTCATAAGCTCCCTCATTTCAATGGAAAGCAGATGACAAACTACTGTTATTGGTAGGCCTAGGCGTAGGCCTACTTGCAGACTTGACTCGTGTAAGGTATTAATCAATAATTGCCATTAGGTATTGTTTCCCTAGTTAGCAGGTAATCTATTAGTAAGTGTAAAAAGTTGAATAGATAACTAAAGTTTAACGCCAGTGCTTAACGCCAAAAAATAACTAGAATTCAATTGAATTCTCCATCTAAGAATACGCTCGCCACCGAATCTCTGATTCCCCTGGGAGTTTCACAGGTTTCAATCCCATGCGGGCGTAGTTATGTGCGAGGCGATTGCAGCTCTCCTGCCACTGAGGGTGGTTCACACGACCGCTGGTCGATTACGACATCCCCCACCATCAAGTCCATGCTTCTAAAACAAATAACTGGCTAACTATTCCCGACATAGAATGGTAATCGTACGATGTTGCCCCTTGCAATCTGTCCCCAACCACAGATAAATCCTAAAAACTACCCACATTGGTAGGCATAGTTGCGTTTTAAATTGAAAGAAATCTTCATTAATGGTCAGAAGGTGTTGTCTGATTGTTTTATTAGTTAGCAGGTGATTTATCACTGATCTGATACACAAACTTGGCACTGTCAAATGATGATTAGTGTTTAATTTATTTTCAGGAAAAAGGGATCAGCTGCTTATATGTCCCATCGATATTTGAATTTTCGCCATCTCCAGAGAGGAAGAGAATAGTTAGAAAAAGGGGGATTTTGAAGAAAGGCAAAAGGCAGGACCATTTCAACAAATTCTGTTAACTTGTATGCGTTGCAATATTACTTTGCAGTTGTTAGCATAAACATTCAATGTGTCTTTCGACTAGACCTACCACACTTTAAAAGAAGCCGCCTACACCCCTTTTCACTAGAACCATAATACTGTAAAATATTTGATAAAAAATTACCCCCGAGGCATCATATCTTCCATTTAAAAGGGCTGTGGAGGCAGATACATTTTTTACTCTAAATTATGGAATGTTACTTCCAGGTTATCTTATCCTTGCTTATAGATATCTTGAGGTCAGTGACTCCAACTGACTCATGCATGCCACACTGAAAATTCTCTTGTGTACCGATAAAATTAGGCTGTTGGAGCCTTCAGACCTTGAAAACAGTCAAATCTGAGCACGATGGATTCATGTGAAACACGTAATATGCATTTATAGGCAAAAATATCCCATCCTGAGCAGCACCGATCCACAAACTCCTGCCTATGGAATCGAAACATTAGACAAATTAGTGTACTGTGCGCATTCACAAATCTTTGCAAATCAAGTGTGCCTTTTGACTGAAGAAAATTTAGCATTGAAATGGTCAATCTCAATATCAACCTAGTATCTGCAGATAAAACCAATTGTTTTTTGAAAAAACATTTTTGATGTGCTTTATTTTTCAAATATAATTTATAATTACTGTAAAGTGTGTGATACATTTGATACCATGAATACCATTTGCAAATTAGCTTGGGTCACACCCCTCTCAAATAAAAGTTTAGACTCTTATGTCATATCTCATAATATTCTTTAAACAAAGGGTTGCGGCTAGCCGGCTACCCATCAGAATTTTCTTTCAGATCACAAAGTCGCAATATTACGCCTCGCTAAGTTTCATTGGCAACTGTATTTGGTTATAGTATCGGTGTCCAACTTTAGACTGAAACCTTCACTATCAGACCCACCAAAACAAAACAAAAAATTCTTGAATGGGTCGTATTGAAGTTGCTTTCGTTCAAGCACAATAGACACTTTATCTCCACCAATCCACAGTAATCACAAGTTACTTTGTCATTACGATAAGCATCAATAAATGGATACTGAGGATGTATTATCAAGTCACGCAAGCTGAGGTCTTGTGCCACTGTGGTCGTGTTGTAACTTATACTTTGCCATCCATCTATTCCATGGTCGCACCCATATCTGTAAGATAATGGGTACAGAGTTTTCATAAAATCTAACGATCAAGGAGTGTGAAATTTATGTCCATATCCCACCACAGCCACTAGTCGTAAGTGAATTTGATTCCGGGTAGCATATCTTTTTTACCAATGACAATAAAAAGACATTTTGGATCAGTTGTACAAGCACCATTAGGATAGGATGTATCTGGGGGGGAGCCAGTTATTTGTTTTCAGAAGCATGGACTTGGATGGTGGGGAATTGTCGTAACCGATCAGCGGTCATGTGAACCACCCTCGATGGGAGTAGAGCTGCAATCCCCTCGCACATAACTATCCCCGCATGGGATTGAAACCTGTGAAACTACCAGGGTGATCAGAGATGCGGTGGTGAGCGTATTCCTAGATGGCGAATTCAATTGAATTCTGGTTATTTTTTGCCTGACCACTGGTGTTAAATTTTAGTTATCTATTCAACCTTTCACACTTGGCAATAGATTACCTGCTAATTAGGGAAACAATAACTTATGGCAATTGATTATTAATTCCGTACTGTCTTACACAAGTCAAGTCTGCAACTGCAAGTAGGCCCACGCCTAGGCCTACTAATAACAGTAGTTTGTCATCTGCTTTCCATTGAAATGAGGGAGCTTG